TTCCGCGTGATCCTCCTATATTCCTCATAGTCCGTGCTATCTCCCGTCCGCTTGTACGCATCCCATTTCCGCTTTTTATCCCTGATGAGAGCTTTGATTTTACCCGTAAACCAGACCGGTTGCCTGCCCGATTTCATGGATTTCTTGGGGATGCATTCCTCCATAAAGCCCTAAAGCTCCAGGGCTTCTGCTGTTATGGCTCTGGAAGGCTGTGGTCGCCAAATATGACTTTCTTTGAATGGTTATAAACATCGGGTATTGTTCGAAAGAATTGGATCGCAGGTACAAGACGTTGAAATGAGTCTCCTAAAAAGCAGGTGGCCAGTGTTACGAGCCTTCGGGATCGAGAAGTTACTTCTCCGGTTCGAGCATAAAGATTGTATAAACAAGCGGAGAGGCCCCAGAAGCGGAAGACGTTAGACCTGCGATTGATGCCTATCTTTCGATGATTTGAGGCTACTAATCCCTCAGCTGGGATCGAAGTCATACAGTGACGCACCGAAAGGGAAGTAATGAAAATCAAACCTTGGCAGACGACGCATGGAGCTTCACCCAAACATCTGATTGTTATTGAAGAAAGCAAGTGCCTCTGCTCTTAAGCATCACATAAGCCTTCCTATCGAATGTAATAATCGATTAATATAAATCTTTACAATCGTCATGTATGAGAAGATACCCTTGAAAGTAGAAGCTGAAGCCGTTTCTCATATAGTCGAGTATATCAAATGCCATTCCGCAAAAGAAACTTGTAGGAGGCGCGACTTCAGTCCCACGAGGACGACAGAACCTGGTACATCTCGCTATCACGCTAAGTAGGGAGGACCCTTATACACACTTTATAGGATCAAGACATCTCAAGTTCGGTAGTTCCAACACGTCTGCCACTTCCCCCCGAGAGGCACCTAGAAAAAATCTCAAAGTCCTGGAAGACAGGAAAGAGACCAGTAGGTTGACCTTATACACGGTACGACGACTACGTTGCGATGCTTTGTCATTATAGGCTTCACGTCCCACCAGCTGAACTTGCGCCCGTTGCCCAGGATCAGAACAGTTGAAAGACGGTCTTGGGTATGTTCCAACCCATGAATTGGGATGGGCAATCATGAAAATTAGCGCATGCATGAACTTTAGGTATGACCTAACTCCAATTCTCTTAAGCATTCGGTCTCTACCAGGGCCGGCGCGAGTACCCCTGCGTCCCTTTGGCTGCAGGGGGCCTCTGCAGAATCCAGGGGCTCCAGCCCCAAGAGGAAGAAATAAATAAGATAGGAAGAAAGAAAAAGAGAAAAAACTCTGTAACGCTGCGAGTTTTTCCGAAAAAGATCCCAGCTCTGAATGAGATGGTGAATATTCCTGTCTTCCCACTTTGGGCAGGCGAGAAGGCCAAGCTGGGCGAAATCCGTCACCGCCCCAGTGCATGGAAAGTATTTTAAATTTTTTATTTTATTTCCTCCATCATTCCCGCATGAAATCCTCGCGCTTGAAGGCACTCGAGGTGAAAACGACGTCCGCGTGGAAGGGTCTACCTCATTTTCATCCCTTCCCTGCTTGTCTCCCTTGATCATGTTGTAAAATGTATTGTATATTCATTACCGAGTCATTGATAGGGTCGACACATTTGAATTCAACAAAACGTGGAAGTACGGAAATATGCACAAATATTCAAAGTACACTGTATACTTGTGTATGCGGCTATGCCGCAAATACCCGGAGCCACCTTAAGCCAAGGCGTCAATCGATATTATGAGTGTGGCTTACTGCTTTTGACTAACGGAAAAGAGCCGTTTTACCTGCTATTAAGCTTTATTAACCCTTTCAGACCTGGCGTCCATTCCAGTGGACATTGCATTTTCATTGCGTCTATGGGATTCTCGGGACTTTGCACAAAACAAAACAAAACTTCAAAGATTACTCGAATTGTTCCATATAAGTTTCAACTGGAAAGTTGCGTATGCTTGTTGTATTCAATAAATAAAAATGGGTATCTATTTACGGGACACCTTGAAGTTCACAAGAAGTCGAATGTTTGCATCTGTTGGACCATCTTTTAAGAATCTGCTCGAACTGTGCACGAAGGTCGTTGTACGATAATCCCTTAAGCCGTAATGTCACTATATTTACATGTTCTTCTGTGATTAACACGGTTAGCCAAAATGTAGACAACGGGATCCTGGGATGTCACGAACAGTTCACTATGTCCTGTGTATGCATCTTTCAGAAGGAACTACAACTTGCAAGGAAAAAATAATGTATCATAATAATAGATTCGGACATCCTGTGTTGCAGATGTACCATATCCATGCCTGACCAACATGCTGCAGGGATGTTCACATCTATTCCACCCTATTCCATTCTCTCGGTCCCTTGCTGGCAGCCGTCCTGGCCAGTTGCATGGAGAGCGACTGCAGAAAGGGGCTTTCGCCCATGCTTATCGTGTGAATGTCTGTGAGAATACGACACGAAGCTTCCAAAAAGACAGAGAGATGGAGGATCGATCCGTAAATTCTTCCTCGGCGAGGAGACGGACCAGGACACAATCGAAGGAGATCTTAGTGGCATTACTGCATTCGGTGGAAAACAGTCGCGAGAGGATAAAATGTTCAACGACTCAGACGACTCGGAAGTTATCGTCAGTCAGCGAGTCCTTCTGAATTTCACAAACTTCTTCTAGACATCCGAACGAAGTCAAGGAAAACTCGGTGTGATAAGTTGCAAAAGTTGGAAGAAAAAGTTGATAAAAGAATAAATAAATTAGAGGTTGCTCTTCGAGGTATTGAGACAAAATGTGAGTGTAGATCAGCGTCTGGGAAACAATGAGGCTAGCTTGGAATTTCAAGTGGAAAAAATCGCGGATATGAAATCTGTATTTGAGGGGAGGAGTCACCTTGTGAACCAAATCAATTAATTAAAGCGCCAAAAAGAGGAAATGGAGGATAAAGTACTAAAATTGGAATTACATTTCAGGAAACAATCTCATCATTCATGGATTAGAAGAAAAGCCTAATGAGAAATTCTCTCTCACCTCTCCAAGAAAAAAAAGGAAATGAAGATTCCGAAACCCGTGGTGACTCATAGGCTGGCGGAAAGAAAACCATTCGCCTACGGGCACTGCTGAGCTCGCCCGGTTTTTGAGTCACGCCGAGAAGGATGCATTCCTTTTCAAGGCCGACCGTTCGAAAGCCTCAGGGATCTCCTTTCGGTGAGACCCTCCTCCGAAAATGCAGACGGAACACGAACGAAATTGCAGTGCATGAAAGATCTGAGCAAGCTACAACAGCAGGAACCTACAAAAGATCATCGGCCGAAATAAAGTCAGCGGTGCTTTCGGAACGGCTGTGAAACTTCAAACACAACAGGGTCAAGAATGGAATGAATTCGAATGACGGCCGTGACGTCAGTGTTTACGTCTCATTCTGACTTTTTTCTCTCCATTTCTTTTTTGCCTGCTGAAATGTTAGAACTAATATTTGAGTCAGCGTCTCTCCTTAGACTGCATGTAGGTACTGAAAGTCTTGTCATCTAATTGATGAGTTGTGATTCCCTTTGTAACCATGCCTAACTCAAAAATGAGATGAGCACGGGTGATAAACCCCTTCGACAGCAAAGAGTTCGTGGTCCTCTTACGCTCTTTTACGTATTTTTCTTTGTGAAAATGTCTCTTTGGTATTCTTTCTGCAAATGCGAATTGAATTTATATGTGTTGTACACAAGAACATGTAAGCTCTGTCTACATATCAGTGATGTAACTGAAGAACTGTCTTCCAGAACTCAAACTGGTTCTTGAAATAGAGTTTGGAGGGACTATATCAGATGCAGGTCTATCAGGAAAATGGGATCCTTCCATCATGTGTTCATTCCATCGTAGATGCCTCCAAGATTATTTTAAAAAACTTGGATTTTTCACATTTTTGAGACCAAGGTTTGTGATTAGTCTCTAAGATACTAATTTTACAAGTGAATCAGCTAATCATATCAGATCAAATTGGATAGGTCAGGTCGAACCAATTTTCCTTGAAATAGTCAGGGTGTAGCAATATTGATAAGAAACGACATTCCGCTCAAAGTTAGGTAATAGACGACAGACAACTTCATCGCTATGGATGTGGAACTCTGAAAAACGAATATCTTATTGCGCTCTTCGGACACAATGATGATAACCCGGGATTTTATTAAAATATAGCGAAAGTGATTCATGATGTTGGCAATGCATCGATCATCGCGTGCGGTGACTGTAATGTTCAGGATTTTCATAAAGATACCATGAATTGTATCCGACTTAATTTTAAAAATCTAGATTAAAAGTATTGGAATTGCAGATAAAATTTTCACCGATCGAACCATGGAAACTATGGTATCAAACTATATTTGGTTTCAAAAACACCCAAATAAGCCTGGACGACTAGATTTTTTCATGGTGAGCGAAGGTCTCTATTCTTAGGTTCTACACACGGATATCCTCACAGTCATTTTTTGTCTCTTCCCCGACAGCAAACATTGTAGAATCAAACAGAATTCAGCAACTTCTCATTACGGCTTGTCAGTGGCCGTCCACTACGTTCGTCATCATGCGTTCGCTCCCTGTGCTATTGTGAATACCATTTAGTTAAGACAACCTTTTGTTTGTCTTTGGTGGTGTCTATATTGTTTTGCTTTGCTATGTCTGTTTTGGCTGTCACATGCCGTCCATTCGGCCTAACCTTGACAGGAGCGTGCTGAAACGATTCGAGTTCGAATGCCTTGCGGGCCGAAATGAAACTTTACCTACCCAGCCTCACCCGTGGCCATGAACTGTGGGTAATGATAGAAGATTGAAAGAACCAATTTGACAGTAACACCGCTTAGACGAGGTGGTCGGCGTTACGCGTAGTAAGAGGATGCGAAGTGCCGCCATCCGTGAGAGCGGCAAGTCTTCGCTCGAGCTCGTTGGTTTGGACACGTGCCGCACGCTCTCTGTGATACTCCCAAAAAGTCTCCCAGTCCAAGCAGACTGGCTAATGACCGGTTGGCAAACCTCGTGCAAGGTGAACGAACCACATTGCAAGAGCCATATTGCGAAGCTTCACTCGAGGATCGGCACGAGTCCGTTGCTCAGGATCGAGAACAATGGAGAATGCTTCCGGGCCTGCTAAAGCCACGACCTCATTAAGTTGGCATTGAAAGCATATAAAATAAATGAACTCATTAGTTACAAAAGAAGTTCCAGGGATAAAAAGAATTTAAAAAATGACAAAACGATATGAATTTAGGTTCCAATTAACAGGTTTAGGCCGAGGTTAGACCTATGAATATGGCAAGGCAACTTCACCTCTCCAGCTTTTGGAGGCTCAACTTCTATGGTCTCAATAGAAAGGGGCTTCGCTGCCTCCCAGGCCACAGCCGCTCGGCATTTGATGACCTTTCCAAAAACGAGGTAAACCAGATTTTAAATAAAAGTAAAAAACAAAAAAAAAACAATACTAACTCATATTTTAAACATTCTAATAAAATATAGGGTGGTTCAAGAAAAAAAATTACATTGGATACGCGATCCATATTTGACAGTTATAAGGCGCTGAAATGCTTCCCAGCTTTTTATCAGCACCCCTGCCTAAGTCGTGCAGTGCCCATTTAGAGGTGAATTAAAGGTGCTTAGAGGTGGATCATTCCACCTCAAGTTAGGTGATGTGACGATCGTCTCAGCATTCAATTAATTTTTCAACTCTAACATTTCAAGGGACAGTTGGATCCAGCCGATACTCGACAGAGAGGTTCATGAGTTTAAGAGTTGTTTTTTCACTTCCGCAAGATGGTGCTGTATCCCGATTGAGGGCGCTGCTATTGATCGGGTGACCGAGGGTGATTTTAAAAAAGGATTAATGCCCTACCTGTAAACTATGTAACACGGCAATACATGGCTCAGAGATTTGCTCAGAAAAAAAAGACAATCTTTTCAACACCTCCTAAATGTCCAATATCAAGAGTTTATGAATTTCATATTTTTTTACTCGAAGACATGAATCGTACTTTCTTCCCTTTGAAGACGGTGGAGCTTTTGTTAATCACCCTTGGTCACCCGGCCAACAACAGCGCCATCTTGTGGAAGTGAAAAAAAACTCTTAAACTCATGAACCTCTCTGTCAAGTATCAGCTGCATCCAATTGTCCATTGAAAAGTTATAGTTGAAAAATTGATTGAATTCTGATACGGTTGAACGCAGGCAATCACCTCTAAATGGGCATTGCATGACTTAGGCAGGGGTGCTGAAAAAAAGCTGACAAGCATTTCAACGCCTTGTAGCTGTCAAATATGGATTGCGTATCCAAAGTAATTTTTTTTGCTACACTTATGAAACTGTGTTTCTCCCATAGAAAATGGTAGGGCGTTTTTTTAAACCACCCTATATACTCAGATTTTAGTCTCAAGTCTGATCCCTATCCATGATCGCCAGTAGCTAGAAACAGTCAACAGCTGCTTCCTCAACACATGACATGGGTATAGTTATGTGGATGGAAGCTATAGGAACACCATCAAATGATGGGCTCAATTGCGGTGGTAGGCTAGATCATAAAAATGTTCCATGTTGTATGGGGGGGGGGGAGGGGGTCCATCCTTTGCAATGCAGAAAATTATTTCTTTAATAGAATTTGCTCATTTTTCCAATCACATCTGCTATTCTTTGTTCTGAAAACCTGGCAATCCTGATCTTGGGATTCCACATCCACATAACTGTGTCTGTTACTTTCCTGTTCCCTGTGATGCTCAAAACTAGTGATTCGATATTGCAGTTGAAGAAAAAGAGGAATCCTTGGGTCCCATAACTTACTGAGAAAATATGGGACAGAAGCCCTGCAAATTTTTCATGTGTCATGGTATACTAGTTGTATACATTAGGATGCACTGACACCAATGCCCTGTGTTGATGTCAGTGACCTGCTGATACTGAGTGAATTTATGATTCAAGAATCCCAAATGCCTTCTAAAGGAGAAATCTCAATTTCTATCACAATAGAACAATGGATACTTTTGTTCCTAATTTTTCAACAATAACCTGCATGTACAGTCAACCCTTGATATAGTGGCATCCTTGATCATTGCCAACTCTACCCCAAGAAAAACCTTTCCCATAAGCTCATACTAGGCAAACCCCAATATAGTACCACCTTTGCAAGCTGCCATCTGCCAACATCATTATTCATACAAATGAAGCTTTTTTCCATTTAAATTCTTATAGATTTTGTGTCAAGTAGCATACTTGCCACAACCCTTAGCCAGCTTGTGCACAGCTAAACATTTGCTGTAGACTATCCATCCAGTCACATGACAGAGAGTAAGACCACGAGGGGTGATTTATATCTGAGGAATGGACAGTTAAAAAGGATAAATATGGGGTATTGAAGGGGGCTAAGGGTAACAATCGAAGCTTCACTTACATTACTTCAATTTTTCTTAAAAGATTACAGTACTGTAGGCAACAGCATACTATAGTTCATTCACTACAGCACCTTAATTAGAAATGATCAATAGTGACATATCAAGAGTTGATTGTATCTGTATCAATATTAGATTATACTCAATAATTGTAATCAGTATTGCTTATACATGTATATCCCTACACACATATACATAGGCCTATAAAGAAATGATTCAGAGTCTCAAAAGAAACTTTAAAATTACCTGGAGCCATATTCTATTAAAGCTTAGGTACATTTTAAGCAAATTACTCAACCTCAGTCATTCGATTGAATGGGACAAACACTTGATTTGAGGGAAGTCACACTCAAGAAAATAATAGAATAAGGCTCCAGGTGTTTACTAGGTTTACCCTATAGGAAGAACATTCAGGGGAAATACTTTGTCATTTTGCCAAAAAAGGTATGGAACCTACAGGCCTACTCAAGAATAAATTTTAGCTGTAATATTGGCAGAATGCAAGAGGGGGTTAGGCGGCTAAGGGGTTCTTTTCAGCTTGAAAATTTCACAGTAAAACTTCAGCTCAGTTAACACATTTTCCAGTTGTAAATTTTTTAGAGGAAAATTCCAGCGTAGAGTCTAGTTGGAAATGGGAGCTCATTGAATGCTAGGTTTTGATGAAATATCATTTACAAAATAATTACACCACATTCAAGTTGCTGATTTAGTCCAAGTCAGCTGGTAGCAGTTTTCAATTGTGACAGTTCTGATGCAGTGTAGAACTGTTTCATCAGATAGGAAATACTTTGTATAGTATCCCAGACAGCTATTTTTCATCTCCTACTGTTTCAAGATTTCAATACCTATAAAAAGAAATATATATATATACATATACTTACAACACTACTAGTGTTTTTCACTTCAGTTAGACACTTTTTCAATTGACTTCGACACTTATACATGAGGAACGTCCCATGCACGTGTCTAAGTCAAGTGAAAAATTGTCTAACTCAAGTGAAAAACACTATCACACACCCACCTGGCAAGGGTAAATGGGAACAGGCCATTTATCTTATCGCCGACCGACCGCTGCAGTCACAAAACTGTCTGGTCAGATTGGTCTTGACAATATCAAATACATTACTGAAGAAGGAAGCACAGATTGTCAAGTTGGCTTCATATGGATGGTGCACACTCAGGCAAAAAAAAAGAGAAAATATTCAGCACCAGGTGAAAATTTCGCAACAGGGTCACGAACTTTTTAATACATCTTGTTCTGGGTATCCCTGTTTCCGTGTAAAAACGCTTGCACTAATACCAGTTTTCCTTTAGACATCAGACGCAATCTTGTGACCTTCATTATTGTACGCCGCAGAGAATGACGATGTGGTAGTTAGGGACAGTACACCGAGTCTTCTAAGCCTGGCCGGCGATCTCAAAATGCGCCTGCCCGGCCGACAGTGTCTTACTATAGGCTTATCCTAGCTTATATGCTTTTTTTTTTTTAACCTGGCCTGCTGTGTCGCTCATCTTGTCCTCCAAGAACCGGAAATATTCGCTGAGCGAAAGATGACAAGAGAGAACTCAACGCTATCTAGATAAGAGACGTGAAGGGAATCAGGCAAGAGCCGCATGCAGCGTTCACGGCTCACCCTCTTTCCTCTTTCCACTACTAGTGCCTGCTTCTTGAATGAGAGACAGTGTTGCACAATACATCTTTCAAACTGCATGATGTTGTGGTACTTTTAAAAAAATTCCTGACGTACAGAAGCTCGGCCTAGTATGTATAAAGTTATAAAAATTGGAGATGATAATCGGAAGCATTAGAAAATCTCTGTTTCGAAAGTTGCAGCGGTCAATATTCTATTCCAGCGTCCCCGCCTCTGCGAATCTTCATGCCATTAGCAACCGGGGCACTAAGGCATGGACTTAGACCAGTGGTTCTTAACCTTTTTTGGCTGCGACCCAATTGCTAGCTCGGCATGGTTATTATAAGCTTAGAATCCAGACTGGCGGTTTTTAGCATTTAACAGACTGATTGAAGGAAAGGCAAGTTTGGGTAGCATGAGTGACCTAGACCATAAAGGAAAGTTGGGACAGTCACTGGAGACCCTTGGCGACCCACTCAAAATGACTAAGGCCCAAATTGGGTCAGGACCCAGGGGTTATGAACCACTGACTTAGAACAAGTGAACTGAGCTCCCCAATTTTTTTCACTTGACTTCGACACTTGTGTGAGGACCTTCCCATGCACAAGTGTCCAAGTTAAGTGAACAATTTCCTGACTCAGGTGAATAGCATTCTTGTTTTCATCCAGTGCAGAAGTAGTGCAGTCATTTAATTATTAGTTGGACCATTCTCCATAGGGGTTATGGTGTATAACTTTACACTTCCCCTAATTTCATCCTTTTCAACAAAATACTCTTGAAGCCATCCCAGTATGGTGTTTAGCTTTTATTTGCTCACAATTATAGACTTAAATTACACCAGGTACGGTACTATTGGTTTATATGCTGCAACTCCACATCCCATTCTGTCATGGAGCTGTCATTGGCATTGCTTCTGTCAAAAGCCAAAGAGTGAGAAAGTCAACCTATTTTGGGGATGATGGGTCAGTTAGAATTAGAGATGGGAAAATAGATTGATTTTCTCACCACTTAGACTCAAATATAGAAGGAATGCAGCTCACTTGGTCAGTGTTTCTCATTTCTTTTCTGAGGGGGGACAGTGTACAACTTTACACCCTAGCGAATGCCCATTTTTGTTGAAACAGTTATTGCCATTGCTTATACTCCCACTTAATAGTGTAATCACTTTGGGGCAAGCCACTCAGAATTGATTTTAAAACTTAGGTTTAGGCCTCTGTTAGTATATGCTATTCAGTGATTGTTGTGGAAAGCTCTTAATTTCTGTACAAAATGCTAGTAAGACTATTTGCACATATTCTCTTTCAGTTTTCTTCTGATACATCCCAGAATTGCTATATTTTCTGGTAGTATAAAGGTTGGAAACTTGCCCAAAATGCAATAAATAGTTATGTAGATTGCATGCCAGGGTTTTTCTTAACTACACAATCCTCTTACTTACATTCACTGACCCACCTGAAGATGGTGTGACAACTGCTACTCTTGACATAACATGCTATTGATTTGGTAGGGTTCTCCTTTGTGTCTTCAGCTTTGTCACATGGTAGTTGAAGGAAAGGAGGAAGAAAGAGGAAAAAGTAATCATTAGCAATGGACAAATTATTCCAGTCAGGGAGAGTCTTGTACGTGTGTGGTTGCCTCCTTCCTAAACCCATCACAGAGATATACTTTTGTCGATATTGCATTTCCCTTCGATGCAGGAACTGCCTTTCTCAAGAGGTGAGTCAAAAGATCCTCTGCCCTTCTGATAGTTTATTTCCCCACCATTGAGTGGCTTGAGCTCAATGCATTTTATATTCCTTTCTCATTTATTATTTACCCTGCTCTCACTGTTTAGGTGGATATCTACTATTGTCCAACTTGCTTGGAGAATGTTCCATCTGCTGAGGCTTGGCCACGCAGAAACAGGCAAGTTCGAGGATATGCTTGATAAAAATTTATTGGGCAACATGCACCCCAACTATTTATACATGATTTGATTTGATTTTCTTTGAAAGTATCAAGATTCTCTGATTCAATTGTTTGGCTTTAAAAAAGGTAAAATTGAATTAATTTTCATGAGTTGTTTGAATTCAGGAACACAGAAGATGACTAATCAGTTGGAGGATATGAAAGCTATTTTCAACTTGGTGTTTTTGAGGTTTCACATGCCGGAAATGATTGAAGTAGATAGAACCATTTCCTGTTCTTCCCTTATGAGTTCCATTCATGAGTCAAGTTGTCTAAAGGCAAATGTATAAACTTGAATTCAGTTCATATTGGTGAACAAATGAGCTCCCCAACATATGCAAATCCTTCTCAAAATTGTTCATGCCTATAGTTGCTTGCACATCTTTGCAGCAGGAAATTTATGAATAGTCACCAAATGGGTATCTCATGTAACGAAAGCACTACAAGTACAGAGTGTCCCAAAATTAACGTCCCAAAAGTAAACGTGCGCATTCAAGCATCGTTTGATGGAACTCCACAAAAAATTGGCATGTATACATGGAATATCATCAAATTTTACTTACCAAAGTATCAAATCATTTCATCAACTCTGTATTGATTAAAGCTCTCAAAATGCACACCACCATTTTAAATGACCAGATTTAGCCTCTCCCTGAAACTAAGCAAACTTTTCTTGAAAAAAATCAGGAGTCAGGGAAGCACAAGCTGCTTTGATGACCTTCTGGAGTGAGTTCAGATACTTGTGTGACTTCCAGTGCACCAGCTGCTTTAAATGCCCCCACAAAGTGAAGTTGCTGGGGGCCAGGTCTGGCCGTCTTGGGGGCTAGGCAATTGGCCCATGTCTTTCAATCCAGCGCTGAGGAAAGCTCTTGTCCAGCCAGGTCCACACCTCTTTGGAAGAATTTTCTCTGAACCAGTAACAGGACTCTCCAAACAATTATACCACCAAACAGACTTAGCCTTTTTGGATGCAGAATACAATGCTTTTTTTTTTCCATTCACGCTATTTTAACTGTCAAAGAATTCATGAGAACCATGATTCAAATGGACTTCGCCCACAGGCATAAAAACTGCAATCTTGAAAAACTTACTTTTTCAGTAAACTGATAGCAAATCAGTTCAGCTTCAACTGAGAATAATAAAACTTTCCACGCTAAAATTCTATGCCGAAATCCATATGCATGCCCATTTTTGTTGATTTTCGTTGAACAATGCTTGAATGGCACGCGTTTACTTTTGGGACACCCTGTATTTTGTGTGAAGGTTTGTTGCTTAGAAGTCTCATCTGTATACATAAGCAGTGACTGTTGTCCCATGAAAATTTGGAATCTCTGAAAAATTCATGTTAAATGTTATCTTATGTTGAAGGTTGTTCTTTATTTCTTTTCTTCACTGGAATTGAGTGTGATGTTTTTAAGTTGAACTTTTAATGGGAAGTATGACTAAGATATAAGGTAAACGTAAAATGAGAGGTTATGCTAGATTTATATACATTTAATATGTAGGCCTCACTGGATGTTATTTTGCAATTGGGCATTGCTTGAGCTGAGAGGTGAAGACACAGTGATGTGCTTGTTTACTAGTTTTTTTCTTTCTACTTAAAGAATTGCAAAAGCCTTTCTCAAGTCTGTTCCTGAATAAGCAGAAAGTTACTAATAGAATGAAGATATACTTCTTAGGACTATATAGTGTCATAATGTACAATGAGGATGAGAGGAGAGAAGTTTTATTATATATTTTTGTGCTTTTATTGATATTAGTTTATTTCTTGTTGTTTTTCCTGCTCAAGGTGTGGGAGTTGCCTGGACTGTCCAGTGTGTGGACACCACTTGTCAACCCGGATGGTAAGTTCTACACCATCCGGATCCACATCTTCTCCAGTCCCCCCTACCAATAAGGGAGTATCTGCATCCTCTTCAACAGGGGAAGAATCTCCATCTCAATCAGCCACTGCCAAGCGGGTTTATTACCTGGCTTGCAGTGTCTGTCATTGGAATTCACGGGAAGCTTCTCTTCCCGATCAGAATGTTGGTCTGTATCTCTCTTGGTTCTCATCTTCAATGTTATTTACCCTTAGAGACATGAAGGATTTCATTCCACATTCCTCTCAGTGGAATGAAATTCAGCTGAGTGAGGTTCATAATGTGTTGATTCTATGTCTAATTCACAAATGTAAAAATTACAAGTTTAATTTTAAGTCTGATTTGCATGAAGTCAGAACTCCCCCAATGCCACAATTGTTGCTCTCATAAAATAATAATGAGCTAATATTGATGACCAGAAGCAAGATATTTAGCACAATGAAGGACATGAAAATTAATTGAAATTCATTGGTCTTCCTCATTATGCTCACCTTTATGTTAGAACTGTTTCTCTTTTTTTTTCATAGCACTTGCACATTGCTGCTTTTGGCATTGCTATGAAATATGAAAATATAAAAAATGAATTGAAGTACCATTCTAATTCCAAGTCATTGTATTAGAAGCTTGAAACCCATGGGCTGTGGGTCTTAGCTAATGATCATCAATTTCAAGTCACAAAAGAAAGCAAATACAATTCTGAGTCCCCTTCATCTGTATTTTCCATCACATTTCCTTCGCATTTTTTGTCTGCACTTGAGCATCAGAACATCTTATTGGCTCTAAAGCAGCCCTAAAAAATAAAAAGCATATAAAGTTTGTGACTGATGAGCTGTTGGAACCAGAATATAATTATATAGCTAATATAATTGTGTGTATGTTCTTCCTGGATTCTGAGTTCATTGCTTTGTCCTATATGATAGGCAGGAAAAGAAGGTCATTCCATATTATTCAGGTTGTCATAATACGATTTCATTGCAGCAAAAGGTGGATGGCCAACATTGGAGAACCTGGATGCCAAGACAATTGAGAGCAATATAGAGCATTACTCAGCCTTAGTCTACTTGGAGAAAGCCGAGCGATTGGATCCTCACAGGCGGGCCTTGAAGAAACCCCGTTCATACTATTTCTTATCTGTACCCAACATACTTCCATTTTTTCTGGATGCCTTCTATCCATGAGCACTGTGACAATTAACTTTTCTTTCTCCTTATAGGAGAGGTATCATGCCTCTGCTGCTTCAGCCCGACTTCGAGCAGGCTTGCCTCCACTGAGTGTGCCAAGTCCAAGATCTGGTTCAGACCCCATCCCTCAGCCATCACGCAAGTTTGAGGCCACTGATGACCTACCTCGTCTTTTGCCCAAGCTTCTTACTGAGCATTTGGTTTTGGACAGAGGTAACTTGATTGAATTCCTGTATCATTCTTTTTCCTGTAATTTATTGAGCTGATTACAGGTTTATATATTATTCCTCAGTGTGATGACTGCATTTCTGTAATGGTGTGTTGACGTAACCCTAGCAGGAAGGAATTTTAGATCGAAGAGTAGAGTATGATAAATTGCTCTTGTTGCTTTCCAACAATAATCATTCTCCTACTAATGGGGACTTCAGTCTGTGAGTATGCTCAGCCAGGAAAAAGCATAAATAGAACAAAAAAGAAAAAAGGAAAGAAATGCCAAGGATGAGTTCTACCTGAAGCTTACCATGATACTAGTTTCCTTTTCATGGAGAGTTGGAGGTGTCTTTCTGTCTTTTTTTTTGCCTGTCAATAGTTATATATTATTTAATAATGGAAGTCTAAGATTGTAAAAAAATATAATAAAAAAAGAAGTAATAAAAACTCAGCAACTATATAGCCTAAGTAAAATTAATAAAATATCACATCAACACATGTATTGCATTTGATGAACAGTGACAGGGATATCAGAACGGCATGCATGTCCAGAGCTGCAAGCTGAGCTACCTCAAGATCTTCACCCAATCCATCGTCACTTGTCAGTGAAGAGATCCCTGCGTTGTCGCAGCTGTGAACATAATGTTTGCCGACCTGAGCATCTTGCCATGGCCATCAAGTTCAAGATTCAGAATGCAGCCTAGTATGATTCTTCTCTGACTTCTCTGCATAGCTGATTTAACTTAAAGTCATGAAGTAAGGGCTATACTCTGGACATTGCAGTTACCACATCCCAGAGGTCAGATTGGGGCATCTTCCGGTTCGTACTGAAGAGGATGAATGGGATGTCCTCTTGATCTTCATCAATCACAGCAAACATGAGATGAAGATCCAGATTCAGGACCTTAATGAATGGGATCCTGAAGAAAAGGTGAAGGAGTTTCAGGTGCATTAAAAAATTGTTTCTGTTTTGGGGTATTAGTACCATCCATTTGGAACTTCTGGGTAATACTTGGTCTTGTCTCAGAAGGGAAAGGGGTCAGAGAAGGCAGAGGATGGGTTGCATGTGTTGTCTGTGCCTTTGGTTTTGGAACCAAGAAGGAAATTTGAGATGATGGCAGATGTATCTACATTGGGTCTCCCCTCAGGAGATATCATCGTGGATCCCCTAGATGAAGCAGCCGACATTGGTTCCTCTTCCTTCTCCTCTCCACTTGATCCATCTTCTGCTCAGTTTCCGTCAGTTTTTTTTTCTCCTTTCTCATCTATATCAACCTGGAATGTGCCATCTTTCAAACTGGATGTTGATCATTGTAAAACTGGTATGGCAGTGTGATTGTATGGAGATCGGAGAACAAGGTGGCTGTGGGTCTCCGGGCCAAAGGGAAGATCAGTATGGATGCATCAGCAAAGATGGGGTTCCTGCTGCAGTATGACTGCTTAAACAAGCTGAGTGATTCCACTCATTCACCTGGTTCTAAGGTAGACACATCACAGCAGCCAGTCCCTGTCCAAATCCCTATATTCGTCCATCTTGGACACATCTACTGAGGATTTTCACTGTTCCATTCTTATTACTCATTTTATTTATTATTTCCATGTATTTGGCTTCCATAAGTTTTTATACCCATGTCAATTTACATGAACAAGATGGATATGAACCAAATCTGGATCCATTGTATGGTTCCAGGTTTGAAATGAAAGCTATGAATGAACATTGCTGAATCATACAGTTCACTGTGCTCATAAATTTTTGTGATTTTTTTCAGTGAACATGAACTGCAGCATTAACTCTCTTTCACATCATGTAAACCCAAACTCTATCTTGGCTAACCAGAGTCTACTGCACGCTGAAGCAGAACCGGAACTGGATCACTTTTTTTTTTTTAGTTTTAGAACTTAATTCGTCTGCTGTTGCATTGATTATGACATCACATCACCACCACTGCTGGATTATTTTGTGCCCTGAACCTTACTGATGTAGTCCTAAACAAATAGCTGTATCTCCTTCATTATCCATTGTAACATAAAACCAATATCTAACATAATGAGAACACCCTCCCCTATCAAAAACCCTTTTCAGATATGCATACTGAAACCCAGAACATTCTGGGACCCTCATTCTGTGAAGTCAGTCTGGCACCCAGAATATTATGGGACCCACAGTACTAGGGTTAAACCAAAAATGGATTCAATGTGAGTGAATCTGAATCAAGTCAAATCTCTACTCTCAGAGTGCAACTGATGGGACCACATCCAATGGTTAAAAGACTATACCTCAAAAGGCCAGAAGGCAGGACATTTTTACTGAAAAGCATGGAATGTTGAACAGACAACTTTTTGAATATTGAATTGCTTATCAAAGGTATGAAACATAAAAAAAACATCATACCAGTTTCAGGATCAAATTATCAGATGTGTTGAAACTTGCAGGTAGTGTAATGTGTTCCTTATCTACCTTTACCAAGGCTTTTCCATGTTTTTAAATGCCACAGAAGAATACTGCAAGGCCCTCCCAGAAAATACAAGTCATCTCGAGTAACACATCTGATTTTGTCTACTGCAAACTCCCTGTGGCACAAGCTTGAAAATGTACATGCAGATACTTTAAAATGATATATATTTAATTACTACTAATAATGAACTTCCATCAATTTGGAGTTGGCCACCAAATTCTCTTTTTTGATTTGACCAAATAAAATTGAATCATCACTGTTGCTGCAATCACCAAATCTGCATGAGCCTCCAACAAACATTCTTTCATCATCAGATTTATGACATTTTCAGCAATTGCAACTGTATCAAGAAATTAACTTTTTTTCAATAATGGTTGGACCTGTGATAGCTAGATGTGATTGTAAGATTGCTCGCTTGCAAGATTGATTGGAACTTCTGAGGAGGACCTATGTAAATGGTCTCCTTGTGCCTGTAAACATGTTCAGCATCGCATTGTATTCTAGTTTCTGCTGTGCAGTGCATATTAGAGGTGCCATGGCTACTGGCAACTTCAAGGTTTGAAGTTTGAGAAAGTGTGTAAGAATATCTAACTAGCAAACTTGAGCATTGGATGGACTTGAAGAAAGCAAGACCCTCTTGGGTTGTCAGAGCTCTGTATTTGGAATGGACATGTCCAGTTTATATGAAGATGGATTCACTGGGAATGTGGATACACACCCGTGCCACATTTCCATTGGAAGCTGGATCTTTTCTTCTTCTTTAGCTACTTCTGCCCTATAGGCCCACTACATGAGAAATCACTTTCTATCATTTGATACTTGAAATGTGAAGATTATTTGGTGTCAAGTCAATTGAAGTTTGGTCATTCCATGGCATTGGTGAAAATGCTGAGAGAGAATTTTGTGTTAGATTCACCAAGTCTGGTGGTGAAAACATTTGTGAAGGTGACAAGAATTTGGTAATGTAAATTATACATTCTGGTGATGAATGAGTCAATATTATTTGGTGATAAATGTCCTCCCATTCTTTGTCAAGTTTCTTGAATGCCACCCATATAGCTTTGTTACTGTGGCAATTCAAAATGGTGGAGTTTGACAATGATTGTCACAAGCAAAGAGCAGCAATTGAATTATGCCCAAGTGAAGGGAGTACTGCTGATGGACATTCTTTGCCACCTGATGGAGATTCACACAACTTGCCCAATGACACACACTACTCACATTAACACCATTTAGATGGGAGGATGGGTTAGCTGGTGTTCCAGAGTCAGGGTGCAGTTATGAGCCTAGACTCTAGAGCAGGGGTAGGCAAAATATGGCCCACTAAATGATTCTTTGCCACCCTGTTTAGCAAGAGAAAAAATTTTAGTTAAGTAATAGAAAGGACCAATTTTAATCAATGAAGGAGCTGAGCTTGCTCATTTTGTTTGTCATAATTAGCCCCTCTTTTCCTCTCCTCAACTCTCCTCAAAAAGCCAATTTCAACTACAGTATTTTCTAGAATGGCACTTTCTTGGGATTCAGATTATTAATTATCAAGATGTCATGCTTCCCAGGATAGTCTGGCTCAAATGTCAAACCTGTCAACTCTGGAATTTGTGGCTATTGATTGAGCGATTGAGAATCTAGCTGTTCCGACTGAGTGAGATTTTTTAGAATTCAAGCCATTTGGATGCATTTTGTCACAGACAGTCCTATAGGCTACACGACAGTGCACTTTAACATTATTGAAGATGAACAACATGAAATTTTTTTGAAAGTGATATACTTGGCAGTCTTTTTTGTGAAAATCTGGATGGTCGAAAAACATGATGTGGTAGAAGAAGCTGTCATTCAGTTTTTATTGCAAAGGAGGGAATAGGACCAGCAAACAATGATTGAGGTATTCTCTGAGATACTGGAGTGCAGCCCTTTAAGCTCACCAAAACTCGTGAAGTGGCCCTCCAGCCAAAGTAATTGCCCACCCCTGCTCTAGAGCCTCCTGCGGCCTGTTCCATACCATATTGTATCGTGGGCTTCTGATCATTCCCATCTCAACTGTTCCCCTCCCACCCAGATTTGTGGTTATCAGTCTGTGTGCAGATAATAGGCACTCCACCAAGTTTCTTGAGATTGGGTGGGGACAAAGAATGTAATGTTTTCATCCTTCCCTAACACTTCCCTGACACTAGTGAGACAAAATTCAATATTCTACATGAGTGGGTGAGAGATTTCACATCTCCAAAAGTATGCATGGAATAAAAAGAAGTGCTATTGCATACTTCCTGAAGATCTAAAGATTAACAATACTAACACTGAATCATAAAAAAAATATTGGAAATATATGCTGCAAAGGTAAAAAATAAATAAATGCATAAAAACTAGGAAAAACCAGAAGTAGGTAAGGATGCAAACTATAATAAACATCAGACCTAAATGAATAAATTTTATATCCTCGTGGATATTCTCTATCTCGTCAACCCTCTCCCTTGCTAAAACTACAGGGTGAGTCAAAAGTCTGGACACAGGGTTAATGTGTGTTTTTTTAAATTTATTTTGCAGGGTTTTGAGGATTGAGCCATGAGCCTATCAGTGGCAGATAGGATTGAACTTGTACTAATGTACAGTAGAATTAGGAGAACAGTGGACAACATATAGAATGCATATTGTAACATTTCATGCAATAAATACATATTGATCAGTTCCCTATGTGTCCAGACTTTTGACTTACCCTGTAGATACAACCCTACCCTATCCTCATGGATCTGTTATATGAAATTTCAGAAATGCACATGGGTTATATTCTTTATTACATTACAAAAATTAATGAACCTGTTGATGAGAGGGTAGTCAAAGGTACTAAAAGCAAGTAAGAAATTAACCCTACGTTTTGGTCTGCTAGGAAATGGTTAGACCCTGTGTGGCATGATTTATTGACAAGGGAAATGACTAACAGTTACTTTTTTCTTTTTATGGACTGTTTTGAAACTTTGTGTGTAATGCATACCACAAGAACCTGTTTCAGAAGACTCACAGACACAGAGCTGACCAGTACTAGAACATTGTGGTCCCTCTGAAGAAACTTATTCGTTATGCATTCTGGACACCAAGGGAGCACATATTGAACAGTTGCTGTGATTAGTGAGACATTAAGTCATGGTGGCACCCCTGACTACATGTTATAACTATTACATCACTGAAGGCATGGTCCCCATAACACCCCTATGCAATTTCAGCTTCCTGTGTCATACCATTTCTGAAATTAAGCAATAAAGTGGAGAAGTTTCTTTGCAATCATCTTGTACATCATGCAAAAATGTTAAAGATTCCGGGGCATCCAAGAATCTGAACATAAATAAATATAGAATTAAGGGCTTCAAAGCCATCATTAATAACACTGTATCAAAAATAGCATCCAATCACCTAGATAAGGAAACTTGATTTAAATCAGTCAACCAGAGTGAAATATAAGTCCCATGTTCTGACAGAACTGCTGAGGGCTAGAATATCCCCAACTCACTCCTCGTCAAGCTTTATCTTACTTTGTTAGCAAAGCCACTGGTGGGAGAACAGGGGCAAACATTTTTTTTACATTGAAGGCTCTTCATGGATTGTACTTTTATGACCACATGATCTGCGTTCTCCTAGGAGAGGGTTTGAGAATGGCTCATGTCTCATTTCCTACAAGGGTAATTTACTATCTGAGCTGCCCTTCCTCTCCCACTGACAGCCTCTAACCAGGTCTTGTCAGAGTTGCTTCTTTTGCTTCTTATACCATGTAGGTGCAACCATGAGAATTTAAACCAAAACAAATGGGATCACATGTCTAGTTTGATTGATAAAACTGATTGATTGATTAGAAAATGAGACCTGTTTTCCAATCAAATGGCATCCAAGTATGACAACTCACCTCATCAAAATGTAATGCAGTAAAAACTTGTTAACTCGAACATTTTGCAACTGGACAAATTGTTTAGTTATCCAAAGTTCGACTTATCAGGAATTGCCTCTGCCCTTAAAAAAAAATAAAACTCATGTTAAGGGATATAATAGAGCGATTTTTCTGTCCTCAAGAACCCAATATTGACGACCTTCTCATTATAATTGGCTTTTATTCATTTCTAGGGAAACTGTGATACTCTATGTAAAATTCATTCATCACAATGCCCTTCATCCAGTACTCCGGAAACCAAATGTGACTGGAATGGCTGGAAGTGAGAATGATAGACAGACAAGAAAAGTGCTACAGATTGCTTCTTTTTATAGCAGAAGCTTTTCAGTTTTAATCCTCTGGTTTAATCCTCTCCACAGGCATCTGTGAGGGAGGAGGGAGAAGCAGGAAAAAAAGAAACAAAAGGATTTTCTCCCAAACAGGTTTCTTGCCTTTCACCAAACCTATTCAACAAATCCATAGGTCCTGCAATAATTTTTCCCCCTTCACACCCTAATTTCAAGATAACCATGAGAAAATTGTAATTGGGAACGAAAATGTCGTTTGAGATATCCAGAAATTCAAGATAAGCAAATTTAAGTTAATGGAATATTTAGTATGGTGTCTTAAAGGATTTGGCCAGGACCAAGCATTGAACTTTGAGATAAGCAGAATTTCAACTTATCAGGATTTGAGTTAATTAGTTTTTACTGTATTACATTTTCTCATATGTTGCTTTTTTCACAAAGCATCATCCCTCACATCACTAGACTTCTGCAGTTCAAGATCAGCCTTGACAGCTTCATATAAGAATAAAACTCCCACTCCTAAGGTAATGCTTACACATATCCTGTTAACAATTAGGGTTAGTGAAAAGAGATGTAGATCATTTAACCCTTTTATTGATGACAAATTAATAGAACCGGGATTCTCATGAAGGTCTTTTTTCATTTCAAAAGACTAGACCAACAGTTTCTCACGAGATGGAAAGAGGAAGGTAATGTGAGGACTAGAAATTCATAGGATTGGAGACCAGAAACACAAGAGAACATCTTTAAAATACAGATATTGATAAACAGATGCACAGCACTAAAAGCATGTGAGAATTCCTTTGATCCTTTTTGTTTGTCTAAAGAATGGATGAGATCGATGCATAATGAGGGCTGCACAGGAGCACTGGCCCTCTGAGACTGGGGTTAGGCTAGGCGGGAGTACATGTCATCAATCTGGGGATGGAAGTACTTTCGCAGTTCCGGCCTTTTTGCCTTCAATGTTGGTGTCAGCAGGCCATTCTGAATGCTGAATGGATCAGGGTGCAGGTAGATGTCCTTCACCTGTTTTCAATAATCAGAACAAAACATATACATCAGGGTATTGCCTGCACTTTAGTATGATTTCCTGTTGAGAAACTATTCAAACATTGAAGTGAGATGCTACTCGCATGGTATAGGTACAGAATATAAATCACTGCAGTGTAAGTGCTGACACTAGCTAAGAGACTTTCTATGAAGTTTTTCACATTTCAAGCATAACACCAGTGTCATTATGAAGCAGAATTTCACCTGGTGTATTTCACTGAAAATGTCTATTTCAGGTGCCTACTTAGCAGCTCATCTTCACATCGGCTGTTTACAAATACAAAAGACTTAAGAGAAAGAAACTCTTCTTTGATGGATGAACAGCAATTTGAAATTCTGAGCCCATGAGCCAAAGTATTGTTAAGAACTCAATGCTGAAGAACATTAGAACTGAGAATGCAGCATTCACTTCATTTATAATAAATAAAAAAGACTTTTAAATTACAGTGGTGTCAAAAAGGGGGTGTCTGCTTGCTTTTGGCACCACACCCAAAAAAACCTCAAGCAGGGATGCTTCTCAATGGTCTTTTAAAGGTCTGAGGGGCCTCTCAGGGGTTGCTTAGGCACCTGGCAAGTGTAATTTTTTAGCATGTACTCCAGCCATATGATGTAGACACAATCATACCATGACCATGACCATGGCCATACCATAACATAACATGATGATACTATTTCTGTAAAGGACTGGCCAAGGCCTGGAACTAGGTCTAGCTCGTAGTCAATTTTGGAGGTATTCTGTTAATAAGGGAGAAAGGAGCCACCAGTCAAAGCATCCTAGTTCCAGAAAATGGCTGTGGCAGTGAATTTGCTTTAACCCTTTGACAAGTAGGGGAGCGGCACCAGTTCGCGAACAGGGAGCCAGTTAGCAAACGAGGGTTATGAAATGCGATTTGGCCTTTTGTTACTCTAGTTTCACTCTCCATCCCAAGCATTAATTAATCAATCAATCCATTTTCTGCAGATACCAAAAGCTGGAGCGTGTAACTCGAGAAAACCCAAGCATTAATTAATCAATCAATCCATTTTCTGCAGATACCAAAAGCTGGAGCATGTAACTCGAGAAACAAAAGACCAAATCGCATTTCATGACCCTCGTTCGCTAACTGGATCCCTGTTCGCGAACTGGTGCCGCTCCCCTATGCTGTATATATACAGGCTGACATCCTCCTGCCCTCCACATATTCACTATGGGTGATCTAGATGGTAAAAAAAAACCCACTCCTCAAAGGGCTGTAATCTCATTTTCAGGTTCACACTGTCAGCTTCATTTAAATGTAACCCTTCAATATTATTTATCATTGTTGGTTATCAAATATCAGAAGACAGAATATCAAATGAACAAAATATCTAGAAAATTCAATGAACGAGGTGCAGTCCCCACAGAGAAGATGAAGCACAGGGCACACCAGTGTGCCCCATGGTTCAGGAAAAGGAACTTAGTGAGGCACACTGGTGTGTCTCATGGCAGACAACCTGTTAATAGCATAGTTTCTAGACTTAAACTATTATGAAATCTATCATTTAAAAAATCCCATTAGTACAAGCATCAAGGCAGCATAGTATTAATACTGTTATAAAACAATTGAAGGCCTGTGCACAGGCAGAGAAGTTCATGTTTTGGATGGCATGTACTGGGTGTTCTAAAATATATAGGTAAAATAATGCTCCTTTTGAGCTCCTTAGAATTGGCCAGCTAAGCTGAAAATTGGCATTCACCTAGATATAACTTCCAAGTTTTATGTAGCATTTTTTTTTTCAACTTTAGAGAAAAAAAGCAATATAGGTTGTGGAAACAAAATTCAGTTTTGATTAATGCAATTTAAAAAAAAAGAGAGATTAAAGCTGATAAGCTTCAACATGTTGCTCATGAAAGGTTACAAACTTGCACTTTTTTTCTTGACTGGTGGAAAACACTCTCTTTAACATGTTTTGGAAGTTTGGATCCTGTCAAATGTTCTGACAAGCAAAGACAATAGCTTGTTCCAGGGCATCCAAATTGGGAAGGGGGGCAACTTGATTGTCAGTATCATTCAGGTGTCCCCAAGGGTCTAAGTTTATTTTTTGTAAAGCTCTCAATATTTTGACAGGAGGTGACCCAAGGACATGATAATTTGTAACAAACCTTTGAGCGTCATCAAACTTCTCACAAGCAGAACTTAAAAACCTGCATTGTTGGGAAAAAAACATACGGCATCAAACACTTATTGCCATTGTTGGGCAAAACCCGATAACATAAAACTTAACCCAAAAAAAAAAAATTTAATCTATGAGTCAGCCAATTTTCAGTTTAATTGGCTGATTCTGAGGAGCTCAAAATGAGCATTAGTTTTACCCATATATTTTGGAACACCCAGTAGGTTCCCTTGGGAGAGTTCTTGAATACCTATATACATCTGAAAATTGTGACAATGTGGACTGAAAGACCTTGTGAATTTCTGTCAGAGCCAAGTTTGCACACCATTTAAGATCTACCTCCAGCATCCCAATAAACTGACCTCAATCAACTGCTTCTCCAAGTTCATGAAATTGCCTTAGGAGATGTCAACCAAGCATGGCTTCATAGTGAAACACCCATTAGACAATGGCAAAGTAGCTTGAGAGAAGAAGGAAAGAAAACTTTCACCAATGAAACTGACACTTTCAGTGAAGTTGTCCTTTTCCCCAATTCCTTGGACATTAATTTAATTTGTATTGCCTCATCTTATGATCTGCAAACTTTGCTTTGTTTTCCTTGGCATCATAAGAAGTTCCCATTTTAAACTCCATAAATACACTTTTTCTGAGTGTTGCAAAGTATGCTCTGTGAAGATTCATCCTACACCCTTGACACTAATAAATTTAATGACAAACTGCTGAGTTGGTGCAACAATTACATAAACTTCACCCAACCCCTTCTGGTTTTTAAACTTCATCTTTCAAATAGGGTAAAACATTTTGCTCTTAAAAAATTCCTGAATAACAGAATAACACTCCATTTTTACTAGGCTTATGAAATTTCCAGTCACCTATGAACAGCACTAAGTAATACTTCTCCAAAGTTTGCACATTTTACAATTTTGTCACTTTCATTGACCTGGTGACTTCACTATAGAAAGATAACAGAACGAAACCTTGTCCAAGAGAGTCTTTTGATTTCGTAGGCTTCACAAGCTAAATATATTCCAGCTATGTTGTTTTAGAAAATGTATGGTAAAATTTTATGGCATATATGTGCTCCTTCTCAGCTATGGCCTTGGGGCTAAAATTCTCTAGATCATTCTCAATTCCTAAGGTCACAACTTCAGAAATATTCACAGGTATTCACTAACTCCCCAAAGCAAACCAACATGCAAAATCTCATTAAAATCCAGAACATCTAATTCCACAAAATGCTCATTTCTGCCTGATTTTCTTGTTCAAAGGCTCTAAAAACAAGAGAATTAAGAGCAGCCAATGTCTTTTTCAATGGAGTGCCCACTGAAAAAAGAGCAAGAAAGATATGCATTATTACTATATTAAAATCAAACCTTCAAAACAATCACACTATACCAGATTTGGACTTTGGGACAGACCTGCTCAAAGGACTTAAGATTGTTTTCTCTGCCTAGCTGGAGCATATCTTCAAGGATGATCTGCTTGATCTCTGGCATGGAGCATAGGACAGAAAATGTGCCCTCAATGCCATTGTCACTGGCATACCGCTTCAGCACCTCTACATCTGGCACGACAATCCCCACCACACAGGACTACATACAAACATTCAACTTAGTCATTGTACCACTGCGATCATTAAAATTAAGGCATTATACAAAGAGAGTTAGTTCATATGGCCTCACCTTGAGACTTTCACCATGGATAAAGAGCTGGGAAACAAATTCACTCTTCTGATATATATTCTCTATTTTCTCAGGTGCAATGTACTCGCCTTGAGAAAGCTTGAAGATGTGTTTTTTCCTATCTACTATCTTCAGTGTTCCATTCTGCTCAAAATGAAAACATCTTACTGATTAGTGACCAGTATAGGAATACAACAATGAAAAACAGTGTTTCTCCAACTCACGGGAAGCCACATCCCAATGTCACCTGTATGGACCCAGCCATTTGGGTCTATAGTGTCTTTGGTCCTCTGCACATCCTGAAAGTATCCCTGGAAAAAGGACAAAGACAAATGAACATCACCTTCCTATTGAAAGCAGCACTAAAGATGGGATAGAAAAAGGAAAGAAGGTACCTGAAAGACAGTGGAACCACGGACGCAGATCTCGCCCTGGCCCACTGACGCATAATACTCCATCTCAGGGACATCCACCAACTTCATGTGAACGCAGGGAAGGGGAGGCCCAACATGTTCAGGTACCCAATCCCCTTGAAACGTGAGTGTACATGGGGCAACCAGCTCTGACTGACCATATCCCTCCACCACCTGGAATTATGTCTCATGCTATAAGTGCTCAATATTCTCAGGATTAGTGCAAACCTTGAAAATACATTAATATGCAGGGAAAATCAACATAAAATATTTTAAATGATTAGGATATCCATCTCGTTTCTGAACACACACTTCTACACCCATGCAATTTTTTCATCTTCATGGGGTCACTTTGATGTGCAGTTCACTTGGGATGCTATTTTTTACAGCACTGAATAGGCAGCTGCCCATGTCAATGGTATGTACAAATTTTGCACCCTCATTTTTCCAGGTAGAAAGATAAAGGTTAAAGTTGCAACATTAAGAGGAATTTTTGCACATCATGACAGTATGTGTCAAGGTCAAGCACACAAAATAAATATGGCAGTCCTGCTCCTCATAAAAATGGAAATTTTTGTGGGAGCATGTCTATCTACTGCTACATTACTTATAGTTCATCCAGAACCAGAAAGGACCACTCTTTTCCACAAAGAGCAGCAAAAGTCTCACTTGTCATACTTATTCCCTCTTCCTCTTCTTTCCACTTCCACAAAAACATGTTTCAGATCAAAGCAAGGCAGGGTCCAACAGGTTATAAGAAACGACACCCCATTAAAAGTTCATGCCACCTGGTTCTTCCTGTGATGAGACAACTAATACACTTATATTGCTTCCTTCTTCAGTTTTATCCATCAAGGCATATAACCTCTTCTTAAATTTGTCATGGAATCAAGTGACACTACATCATCACCAAAGGCATACTTTGTATTCAACACTCAGCAAAAGAAGTCACTGTGCACCCAGAATGGGTAAAACCACCTAAGTTCAGACAGTACCTTAGTCCTGACACAGTACCAAACATTGTAAAAAAATTGAGCATTCGCAAGGCCGCTTTCAGAAATGGTTCTTCCAATCACGAGATGAACAATTTACTGAGCAAAGAACAAGCAGTGGTGATGAAGACTTTGCACGATTCCAAGATATTGGACTTGGGCCAATGTGATATTGCGAACAGGGGGAGTCCTACGAGAAACTGTGAGGAGAGAACCTTACTTTTAAAATGTTTCACACCTGACGTTGTTTTCTGCGCTCAATTCTTACTTACCAGGAAACTGGGAGGACATGGAGTCCCATTAAGCAGAATGCACATGCCTTGATCAGATTACTGTCTTACTTTCAGTGTGTCCAAACTTAAGGAAATGTTTGAGAAACTTATGTTCAGACATACATCCACGCGTGTCTTATGCGCGTAAATATGATGTCCTCTATTGAGAGAAAAACAGCCAGAGGTAACAAAAGCTCAGTTGAGTCTTGCTTTTCAGGGAACATGTTTTTTTTATCCCTGTCTGAATTTTCATAGTGTGACATGTAACTTCGGACACTGTCAAGCACATATGTAAAAATACAGCATCATATGTTTCTTCACACACCTAGGCATGCGGCCTGCCTCCAAAGCAGTGTAAACATGGTAGAAGGCTGGAATGCAAGGGATTATTGACCCAAGCCTGCTGAAAAGGTCATCAGGGCTATTTATTTACCTATTTATTAAGGTTTTAGCCTTATGGCTCCATGGTTCCCAGGAATTAAATTATTTTTTTGGAAAGGTCCACTCCAAAATGTGCCCCCAGGCAACATGTCCCAAAAGCATTTTTTTTGCTGCTTCTCAATATGTACCAATGCCCCAAGTTTCAGTTTCTGTCTCTCCATTTTGTTAGTGCAAAAAAATGATGCACCTCTCCAAAAAAACTACCTGAAATCTGCATAATCAGAGCTTTTTGAGTACCAAGTTTGATCTAATCTAGAACACAAAATGAAAGTCAGTCACTTACTCAATCAAAATATTTGTATACTAGAATATTAAGTAAGAATATTCAATAAATACTTTGAGAGCAAGTAATCATTCCTTTGCATCACAATCAAGTGTTTCAAGCCTCATTAAGACTTTAAAACAGGGGTGTCTGAACTTAAATTTTTCCACATTTAAGTTCAGACATCATATTATAGGCAATATCAGAAGTCATAATGCTAGGAAGGACAACACCTTTGTAGCACTTATACCTGGCTTGTGTTGTGCTCCCAGGAACAAAAAATTAGGCTTCCAACTTGTACCATTGAGATAGAACGAGTGAATAATGAAGCTTGGCCAGCTTAACTGTCTGAACATTGGTAGTTTTACCCTTCTCACTTTGAATTTACACAACTGAAACTGGTTCCCTCTCATTCTGCTGCTACCATTGAGTTGAAAATAAGTAACCACAGTCCATGTTATCAATTCACATTCAAGATTTTTAATGCCTGGACATGGTCCCTACTCATTAACCTTCCCTTGAACAAATTGAATTCCAAGCATCTCAGTGATGGTATTGCGTGCACTCTACCTTGACATTCTTGGTATAGTATAGTGTGCACACTACCTTCCCTATATGCTTTTTAGATCTTCACTAAACCCAAGCACACCGCATAAGAATTAACAATAAACACATATCAAGGGAGCTGCATTCCTTCTTTGTCAGGCCAAAAGAGTGAGAAAGTCAACCTATTTTGGAGGATGATGGGTCAGTTGGGTTAGAAAATAATTGCAGCCTTTGGCTAAGACCCTTTTCTAACCCAACTGACCCATCATCCTCCAAAATAGGTTGACTTTCTCACTATTTGGCCTTTGACACCAAACCTGGGAGAAAATAATGGGGATCCACCAACTGTGTTAGTTCAATGACAGGTATCACTGGAATGACAAACAATAGACCAGATAGGCATAGGAAAACATGCCATGAAAATGAAAAATTTATTAACAATATATCCAAACAGTTATATGTATGATATTAACAATTATTTTCTCCAAAGGCATGGTAACAGATTCTAAAGTTAACCCCCCTTGCCATCTCTTTTTGATCTACCTCTTGAGCAAGAGAGGTTTTCCTCGCTTGCCCAGGAGGTAGATCACACCTTACAATAGAACGCACACTATACCAGTACCAGCATCTCTTTATGCAGAAGTCCTTGCAGCTTTTTCATCAATTGCAGCATGCCTCTGAACCCTCTCCATACCTCTATTTAGTTGGTTGAGTTCTGGTATGCACATTTTCTCAGTGTTCAAGAGTAATTTGCCAACCTCCTAATGGAGGGGCACTCAATCCATCAATCCTGTCCCTCTTCAATTGAATCCCAACAATCTCCTTAGATATACAGGTTGGGTCAAAAAAACTGGACAGTTTTCAATGATACCCTACACTTCACTCACTGCCTATATTTTAATGTAATTTGCAGCATTTGAAAGAGGAATGTACAAGCTTAAAAATAGTTTACTTATATTTCAAATTTATTCAACAGTTTTAGAAATTCGGGAGCTCATATGAGCAACAAACACTATGTTGCCACGCACTTGGATGCAGACAGCATGTGACCTGCAGCCGCTGCCTGTATTTCCCCACTACAACAAAAACAGCACACACTTTGTTTGTAAATCATATAGCTTCAGAATTCCTGAAACTGCTGAAAATATTTGAAATGTAAGTATACCATGTTAGTCATTCCTCATTCAAATGCCACAAACTGCATTAAAATGTAAGCATTGAGTGCAGTATAGCATAGTGTTAAAAACAGTCTTTTTTTTTGGCCCACTCTGTATTCTCTCAGCAGCAACATGAAAAATTGAGGGGTAATACTTTGCAATACCCTTGCAACTCTATTACTCTCTTCTCTTCTATTTTCATTACCTTTTCTTTCTTTCCTTCAAGCAATATGCATTACAGTCTTCTTCCTCATAGGACAAGGGCATTGATCTCTGCAAATCTGTCCTTATATTAGGACATTCATTCCATAATATATGAGATGGTCCCTCCTTACTAGAACTGAATCACAAAGAAATTTTCTCCCTGATGTTGTCTTCCTCATCAGTCCCCAAAACTTAAACAGAACCACCTTCTCTATATGCAAAAAACAATCAGATATGTAATCTTAGTGCTGATGCTTCATCCAGTTATAGGAAAAGATTGTGAAAGCAGTGAAGGGATAGAAGTGCAGAAGGGAAAGAAGAGAGGGGATGAGGAAAGAAAACAAGAAAGAAACATTGTGTTGGCACCACTGCCAGCAGCACCAGACCCAAGCCATGTGTGCAGACCCTTACCAAAGTGAAGCACCAGTTCACTTTCATTAGGGGGTACTGGGTGTATAAGTCCACATAATGGACATTTCAGTGCACACCTAGGAGTAAGTTGCATCGGTAAGAAGAACCTGAAAGGAAAATATATTCCTGTAGATGATGAAAGCAGGACACATATGCAAGAGCTGCACTTGTGAGGTGCAACTCTCCACATGAAATCAATGGTATTGTGATCTACACAGGCAGGCAGCGCATGGGCCAGACTGGGTGCCACAGATAAATTGTTGGAACCTTAAATGGACCAATGTCCAGAAATAGATGCACATTCAAGCAGGTGTATTTTCTCCATAACATAGATGGCCTTCTACAATAAATAGGCATGAATAAGCCTAGTTTTGTCCACATATATTTCTTCTTTTTTACAATGAATTTTACAATGAATTTTTTACAATGAACTCACCCTTGATTCATGGGAAAGTCTACCACTTTGCTTAGTAAACCCCCCCCCCCCCCCCAATCCACCCTTGCATGAAGCTAGTATAGCAGTACAAATGGGGGGAGGGGGGGTGGTGACTTTATTTAACACTTTCGCTGCCATACGACCTGCCGGCGGGTCGTAAGGGCTCTCTCCTCCTAGGCCATACGACCCGCCGGCGGGTCGTACGTTCTCTCTTCTCCTGGGTCATATGAGCCGCCGGCGGGTCGTACAGGTCCTTTCTACCAGATCATATGACCTGCGACAGGTGGTTTGCATTGCTTTGCGTGATACGATCTATTTACCTCTTCCTTTCAGCTTACGAATTTTATCGTCGCCTTCTGATGGGGTCAATTTAAAATCAAATTTGCGGTGTTTCACTTCTCATTTCTCTTTTACAATGTATTCAATATAAGTATATCTCCGTATAAGGGTAAAGTGGAA